CAGTGTTGGCAAGCTTTCATCTCTTAGGTACAGCCTTGTGCTGTATTGGTGGGAACTGTGTTGTTCTTAATCTGAACTTTGAGTGGACAGACCATGTCTAGCAAATAAAGGCAGAACTACCCCTGCAGAGTCTATATTTATAATCTTCACCCCACTCAGTTCCTGTTTTGATTAATAAAGATGTGTTTGAGGCTAGTTATAATGATTTAAAAATTCATGGTCCAAAACCGTAATTACTTTTGCACCAACCTATACCTCTCATGAAAGCAGCTTTCTCTGCAGCTCTAAAGGGCCTTTGCTCAGGGACAGGGAGTCTGTAAGGGTGGGGCAGGGATGGGAAGAGATTTTTATGGCTCAGCTAGTTTTCTTAAAAATAACCAGAGCCAAGTTAGGCTGCAGCTGAGCTTGAGGTGGGACACAGGTAAGATGAAATCCTGGTGTTATCAGGGGAGGCACGTCCTCAGGCACGTCCTGAGCTTGTTGAATTAGGCACCAGTAGACATGGGGATAAACTGACAGTTTGAAATGCACTAGGACTGCCTTTCTCTGTGTTAACATTGTCTTTGTTGACAAGGGACACAATTAAATGACCATTGTCCTTGATGGAGCCTGCTTGGTCCTGCTCCTGTTGCAGCTAAGAAATGCAAAGGGCTACCAATGGGTTCTTTTCATGAGAAGGAAAGTACAGTGAATGAGGTAAATGAGATGCAGGGTAAACTTCCCACTGACACTGTAAAAGACAAAGATAGAACAAATACACCCAGATTGAAAGACGAAAATTCATGAAAGCAGCATATTTTTTCATCATACATTTGAACTTTGTTTCAGAGTGGCACTCTTCCTTTAGCAACAGTCCAAGGTGCACTGATTTCCTAGTGCCCACTCACTCCCTATCCCTGCCAAGTAGAATGTGGTCTCACACCACTTTGCTGAAGGGCTTCCTCTTTAATTCTCCTGTGGTGCCTCAGTAAGGGGAACATCTTTGCTTACCTTGACCTCTCCATGCCCTCAGACACGTCAATCTCACCTTCTGAATTCCTTGGCAAATCACTAGCCTCATTCATCCCCTTCTTGCCTGACAGCTCTCTCTCTCCTTTCCAGACCTTACCCTCCTCCTCCTCCCCACTCCTTCTATTCCTCCTCTTCCTATTTCTCTCTCTCCTTCCCTAACAAATGGAAAAACAGAACACAACAGAAAACCTAAAAGTGTGTGGCTGGAAATAAAGATAATTTTCATCAAACAACTTCCCATCCAGCTCTCTGAATCTGCCTCCTGATCTTTAATCCTTATTTCGTAGTCCTTTTTGGACTAAATGAAGCTTAAGTTTCAGGGCCCTTCACTTGCACATGGCGCTTCCAAATCCCTGCAAGGGTCCCTGATCCTGTGATTCACATGGTCACACAGTTATGTAAAATTTGCAAAAGTAGGTTATGTTGTTTCTACTTTGACAATGGCAATGTGAGGAGTTCTGACGATCCTTGTTACAGTGATATAAGCATAACTAGTTAGAGAGAGAGGAAAGACCACATTTGAAAATCTTGGGATATTTTTCCATACATCAAACGATAAAATATATATTCATGAGGGTCTTTATTTACCAAATTATTAAATGAATAAAACAGTGCTGAATTTCTTACATATGACCAGGATGCAAAATAAATTTTCTAAATCCTCTTCTATTTTCCATTAGATGTCTACTATAATTTTTGTAATAAAAATCCAAAAGGAAAGTTTTCCATGATAAATGAAAGATTTGGGTCATGAGCATAGCTAAATGTTGATGAGTCACTGTCATACCAACATTTTTAAGTAGACTACTTTGATAATACTTTCGTAACTTTTTAAAATGATACAGATTTTCCCTCATCTATCTCACTAATGCACACAAAACTTTAGGTCATCCTGGGGGATTTTGTGACTCCACCTGCTCAATGCAAAAGTGTGGAAATTCTAATTCATTCCACCTCTTTCCTTGCAGTCAAGGGAACACCCTGGACGTAGCCTCAGAGATCCACATGCCAGGCCCAGAGTGTCTCACCAAGCACACTAAAGGGCAACTGGTGGCTAATGAAGAAGCCTTGAAGATGCTGTCTGCCCTTACCCAGCCTGTGGTGGTGGTGGCTATCGTGGGCCTCTACCACACAGGCAAATTCTACCTGATGAACAAGCTGGCTGGGCAGAAAAAGGGTGAGTGCCACCACCGAAGCTCTGCCAAGTTCCTTCTGTCCACCCCCACGGTAAGCATTCAGCATGGGGATGTGAGGAGGGAAAGTTTAGAGTTGGGGGATGATTTTTGAAAGCTACATTTCTATTCACAGCTATATTCACTCTGTTCTAGAGAGATGAGTCAACCCATTAACTTTTCCCAATATGCCATAGTTTTCCCTTTTAAAAGCATAAATTATTTCTTTCCTAAAAGGAATACAATGAATAAAAATAATGTACATACTAATAAACTTTAATAAGCTAAGAGACATTTATCAAATATTCATGCAGTAATGTCAAATTTCTACTGATCTTTAAGGTTAAAAAAAGTTTCTATCCGCATTGAATATTCTTTTTTTGATTATTATGAAATATACATAAGCCTCTCTTCCTTTTTTGCAGGCCGAATAATTTTATGTGTATACCAATTTGTTTATCCATTCATCTGTCAATGGACATTTGAGTTGCTTCCACCTTTGGGCTAATATAAAAAATGCTGATATGAATATGGTTGTATGAATATCTGATGATATCTTGCTATGGTTTTGATTTGCATTTCCCTGATGATTAGAGATGTTGAGCATTTTTTCATATGTTTTTGGCCATTAGTCTGTGTTCTTTTAAGTCCCTACTTTTACTTCATTGGAGCAGACACCTAGACGTGCAATTGATGGTTCATTTGATCATTCTATGTTTAAATTTGTAAGGAATCACTATACCATCTTCCAGGGTGACTTCACCATTTTCCATTCCCAACAGAAATGCACAAGGGTACTAATTTCTCTACATTCTCACCAACATTTGTTATTGCCTATTTTTTGATAGTGGCCATCCTAATGGTTATGAAGTAGTATCTTATTGTGGTCTTGATTTACATTTCCCTAAAGCTAGTGATGTTGACCATACTTTCATATGCTTATTGGCCATTTGTATATCTTCTTTGGAGAAATGCCTATTCAAATCCTTTGCTAATTTTTTAATCTGGTTGTTTTTTTGTGTGTTGCATTGTAGGAATTATTTATATATTCTAGGTATCAATCCTTTATCAGATACATGTCTAGCAAATATTTTCTCCCATCTCATGTGTTGCCTTTATACACTACTGATAGTGTCCTTTGTACATGAAAGCTTTTAATTTTGATGAAGTCCAACTTATGTATTTTTTTCTTTTACTGTCCATGCTTTGAAAATCATTGCAAAATACAATATCATGTTTTTCACTGTATTTTCTTCTATGAGTTTTACAGTTTTATCTCTCACGTTTAGTTCTTTGATCGATTTTGAGTTCATTTTTATATGGTACAAGGCAACATTCCAACTTCTTTTTTTCTGCATGTGAGTCCAATTTTACCAATGTCATTTGCTGAAGAGACTCTCCTTTCTTCATTGAATGATCTTCACATCCATGTTGAAAATCACTTGACCACAAATGTGAGAGTTTATTTCTGGGCTCTCTTCTATTCCACTGGTCTAGATGTTAGTGTTTATGCCATTGCCACAGTGTTTTGATTACCGAGGTTTTAGTTTCAGGAGTCAGAAAGTGTGAGATATCCAACTTTTTTCTTCCTTTTTAAGATGATTTTGGCTATTTTGCAATCTCTTGAGATTTGATATTAAAGTCAGAGTGCAGTAACCATCATTCTACTGTCTTTCTCCATGACATCAATTATTTTAATGTTTAGCTACCACATATGAGTGAGAACTTGTGAGATTTGTCTTTCTGTGCTTGGCTTATTTCGCTTAACATAATGTTCTCTAGTTCTATCCATGTTGTTGCAAATGACAGGATTTCATTCTTTCTTATGACTGAATAATATTCAATTGCATGTATGTACTACATTTTCTTTATCCAGTCATTGGTTGATGGACACTTAGGTTGATTCCAAATCTTGTCTATTGTGAGTAGTGCTGTAATAAACATGGGAGTGTGGATATGTTTTTGATATGTCAATTTCCTTTCTTTGGGATATATAACTAGCAGTAAGATTGCTAGGTCACATGGTAGTTCTATTTTTTGTTTTCTCGGGATCCTCCATGCTGTTCCACATAGTGGTTGCAGCAATTTACATGCCACCAACAGTGTAGGAAGGTTCCCTTTTTTCTACATCCTTGCCAGCATTTGTTATTGCCTGTCTTATAGATAAAAGCCATTTTAACTAGCTGAGATGATATTTCATTGCAGTTTTCATTTGCATTTCTGAGGACTATTGATGTTGAGTATTTTTTCATAATCCTGTTTACCATTTGTAGGTCTTCTTTTGAGAAATTCATATTCAGATCATTTGGCCAGTTTTAATTGGATTATTTGGTATTTTTGCATTGAGTTGTTTGAGCTCTTTATTCTAGTTTTCAAACCCTTGTCAGATGGGTAGTTAGCATATTTTCCCTCCCATTCTGTGGGTTGTCTCTTCATTTTGTTGAGTTTCCTTTGCTGTGCAAATGCTTTTTAGCTAGGTATGATCCATTTGTCCAATTTTTCTTTGGTTGGCTGTACTTGTGTGTATTACTCAAGAAATCATTGCCCAGACCATGTCCTGGAGCATCTCTCCAGTATTATCCTTTAGTGGTTTAATAGATTCTGGTCTTATATTTAAGTCTTCAATACATTTTTATTTGATTTTTCTATATGGGGGACATAGGGGTCTAGTTTCATTCTTCAGATAACTGCTTTTTCATTTTAATCTTTTTTTGAAGGAAACTGCTATAACATGTATACTTTAAAAATGAGCCACAGTGTTATGAAACAAAACAAAAGAAGCTTCATTTTATAATTACATTACCAAAAATTCTCACCCTAATCAAACAGTGATTCCAAATATTTCCATGCTTTACGATTTAGCTTCTTAATGAAGGACTGTAAAACAGCTTGGTAAACCATTTCAAAGTTTCCTGGAAGTGCTGGGTATTTTTCATTTTCGGTTGGTTTAGTTTTCTCTGTTAGTAGTTGTATCTCCTTCTTATTCTCCTTAGACTTCTCTGTAAATCCTGCATTAAACAAAACTTCGTGAACCTATAAAAAAGAAGAGTTCACTCTTGTAAATTCTAAATATTAAGGGTCAGAGTTTATAAATAAAATTCCTACAATTAACCACATCTGCCTATTTCTCCACTACCTTAGAGTTGATTTATTTGTCTAATATTTCTGCACTTTGGATCTGAATAGTAGGAGTATCCATGGATTATACCTTTGTGAAATTCCCTCAGTACCAACTCACTGGAGGTTTGGAAGAGTTTTGTTTCAGCACAAAGAATGTCCTTTTGGAAGGAATGCAGGTTGAATTCTAGCTAATTCTCAGTTATGCTGAGGTAGCATGGCCATGCTCCTCTAACAAATAATGAGAGCTTCAGACCCTGGTGGTCAACCTCCAGGTTGGGATAAAAAATGTATGTTACTATAGTTGTATAGGATGAATCAGGTAGATATGGAAAGAAATGAGGCAATTTCAAAACTTTCAGCATCCCCCATTTCATATCAGGTCAATTCTGACATTTTCAGACCAGATGGATGTATGTCAGGTGTCTTTGAGAATTGTGCCAAGAATCCTAAGAACAAGTGCACTAAGGGCCTATTTCCCTAAGGGACAGTTAGACCGTCCTATGATCACCACACACAGCAGCCAGCATCCTGGGGGATGTCATGTGTACTCTCTAAAGGCTAACACTACAGAAGGTACTGGAATCGTGTATACTTACAGGCTAGAGGAAGATTCAGATGAATTTGAGGTTTGAGTGAAATCTATACTTTTGTGCTTCTTTCTTGAATCATGACTGTACTTAAACTGTAGGCCCTTCCCTTCTTGAGGAACCAGAGTATTGTGCCCAAATATTGCCAGGCTTTAGCCAGACTCACCTTCAGCTGTTGCTCCAACATCTTTTCGTATTCTCTCTTACGGTCTTGTCTTTCCCTCTCAATCTTATTCTCTATTTGGCCTATGTGTTCCCGGAAGCTTCTCTCTTGAGCCTCCATCATTTGCTGCAGCTCCTTCTGTTTCTGTCTTTGCATCAACATTTCCTTCTCAGCTGCCTCCTTCATGGCCCTCTCCGCTGTTCCACAAACATTTTACAGAGGAAAGAAAATTACAGTCAGGCCTGGGTTCTACCCTCCTGAACTCAGAGACCAAACTGACTTTGGAAAAGGTAGGGAGGTGGATGATTGGGACTATCTGAATTCTCCCTCTAGCCATGTCAGGAAAAGCATGTTTCAGAATGTGAAGGGAAGACACTGACTGGTTGGATGTAAAACCCCAACTCTCCATGTTGCTTTAAGATTTAGCAGAGCATGTGTTCTCTAGTAGGAGGAAGCTCCTGGTATCAGCAAAATCTTTCTGTCTGATCAGGCAGAGGGCATTGGAGGAAGCTACCCACCCCTCTGAGAGCCGAGCCCTGCCCCTGTACCTGCTATGGCCTTCTCTCCAGCAGTGAGGGCTTTGTCTGACAGCAGGATGGATTCCTCTGTAACTGCCTGTGACTGCAGGAAGCTCTGGAGGACCTCGTTTGCCTGAGGAACCAAGAAGAAGCAAAGATCTGTCAGGTAGCAAAGATCTAGTCTTCTGATGAGGAAATTATTATTCAGTAAAGCCACATATCTAACCCTGTAATTCTGCATCTGCTTAGGATCCCATAGTGCTTCTTTCCTTCCTTGGTCACAACAAAAAGTCCCAGTTCTTTGATGAGACATGAGAACCTTCCATAGCAGCCTCCTTCCCAGATTTCCAGCTCCTCCCCCAGGTACACCGCCACCACCCACCCACGGGTGCAGACTGACAGATTTACTGCTGTTTTGCAAACACTGATTCTCCATCGTTTGAAATATTTTCACATTTTTTTTCTTCTGCCTGGATGCTTCTGCCTGAATGCTGTGCTACCCTTTCTTAACTAGCACAGTATCTATAAATATTTCAACTAAGAGCTCCCACCTCAATGCCAGAAAGCTTTCCAGGCTGCTTTCTGAGTTTCTTTCAAAGCTTTACTGAGGTACGATTGATAATTAAAAATTTTATACCCTTAATGTATGCAGCATGATATTTTTACATATGTATACATTTTGGAATGATGGCTACAATACAGCCAAGTAACATATCCATCACCTCATATAGTTAACTTTTTTATGTGTCTTGTGAGAACACTTGAGACGTACTCTCTCACCAAATTTCAAATTAGAATATGTTATTTTAACTCTAGTCCCAATGCTGTACATTGGATTTCTACAAGTATTCATCTAATAATTGAATGTTTATGCCTTTTGACCAATATCTTTACTGTCTCTCACCCCCCGCCTCTGGTAGCTATCATTGTATGCTTTGTTAATATTACTTGATTTTTTTAAAAAAATTATTATTTCACATTAAAGTGAGGCATGCAGTATTTGCCCTCTGTGTCTGGTTTATTTCAGTAAGCATAATGTCCTCCATGTTTATCCATATTGACAAAAGTGATAGGATATCCTTCTCTATTTAAAGTTGAAAATATTCAGTTATATATATAAGATGTATGTATATAAAATATATACATTACATGTATATACTATGTATTATATATAAAGTATGTATTTCATATATTATCTATGTAAATATATACTATGTATTATATATAAAGTATGTATTTCATATATTATCTATGTAAATATATACTATGTATTATATATAAAGTATGTATTTCATATATTATCTATGTAAATATATACTATGTATTATATGTCGCATATATTATATATGTAAAAAATATACATATTATATGTATATATCACTTTCCTCAGCTACTTTTTTGTTGATTTACGCTTAGGTTGTTTCCATATCTTAGCTTTCGTGAATAACGCTGTGACAAACATGGCAATACAAAATCTCTTCAAGAAAGTGACTTTATATCCTTTGGATATATACTAAGAAATCGATCAATAGCTGTTAAAAATAATAAACAAATTCAGTAATGTTGCAGGCTACAAAATCAACATACAAAAAGTAATTGCGTTTCTATACACTGACAACAAACTATCCAAAAAGAAATTACAAAAAAAATTCATCTTTCCAATAGAATTAAAGATAAATAAATAAATAAAGTCTGTAGGGGTAAATTTAACCAAGGAGTTGAAAGATTTGTATACTCAAAACAATAAAAAGGTGATGATAGAAATTGAAAAGCGATAAGACAAATGGAGATATATCACATGTACATAGTTGGAAGAATTAATAATGTTATTATAAAATGTCTATATTACCCCAAATGGACTATATATTGAATGCAATCATTATCAAAATTCCAATGGCTTTTTTGCACAAATGACAAAACAATCCTAAAATTTGTATAGAATTGACAAAACCTTAAATAGCTAAGACACTTCTGAACAAGAAAATTAAAGTTGGAGGCATCACACTATATGCTTTCAAAATCTACTGCAAAGACAGGGTAATGAAATAGCCCGATACTGCCATAAAAACAGATAGTCTAATGGAACAAAATAAAGAGTCAGGAAATAAACCAACTCATATACAGTCAAATAGTTTTCAACCATGGTACCAAGAATACAAAATGGGGAAAGGATAATATCTTGATTAAATGTTACTGAGAAGATGCAATCTCCAGAAGAATGAATTGGACCCTTATCTTATATCATACACAAATATCAAATAAAAATGGATTAACTATTTGAACATAAGACCAGAAACCATAAAAATCCTGGAACAAAACACAGGGGAAAAGCTCACGAACACTGGTTTTCGTGATGATTTTTTGGAGTAGACACCAAAAGCATAGACAACAAGTACAAAAATAAAAAAGTAAAATTACAGCAAACTAAAGAGTTTCTGCACAGGACAGGAAGTAATCATCAAAATAAGAAGGTAACATACTGAAAAGGAAAAAGTATTTTCAAATTATATACTAATAAGATGTTATTATTCAAAATATATGAGGAACTCATATAACTCAATAGTAAAAATCCCAAATAACCCAATTTAAAAAATGGACAAAGAACCTTAGTAGATATTTCTCAAAATAATACATATAAATGGCCAACAGATATGTGAAAACATGTTCAAGATAAGTAAACATCAAAGAAATGCAAATGAAAATCATACTGAGCTATCACCGCACACATTCTATGGAATGATTATTATAAAAAAGTCAAAAGTAGGCTGAGTATGGTGGCTGAAGCCTGTAATCCCAGCAACTTGGAAGGCTGAGGTGGAAGGATCACTTGAGGCCAGGCGTTTGAGACCAACCTGAGCAATGTAGGGAGACCCCATTCTACAAAAAATAATATTCAAAAAACTTAGCCGTGAATGATTGTGTGCACACCTGTAGTCGCATCTACTGGGAAAGCTGAGCCAGGAGGATTGCTTGTTCCTTGTATGAGGTTACACTGAGCTACGATGGTGCCACTGCACCACAGCCTGGGAGACAGAGTATAATGCTATCTCTACAGAAAAAAAAAAAAAAAAAAAAAAGCAAAGAAACAATGCCAAAAGATACCAAGTGTGGGCAAGATTGTGGAGAAAAGGAAACTCTTGGACAATGTTGGTAGGAATGTAAATTGGCATAGTCATCATGAAACACAATACATTGTTTCCTCAAAGGGGAAAATTCTGAGTGTCTAATGGCTGCCAAGTAAATAGATCAGCCCTATCAATTCCACCACTTGCTGACTGTGTCATCTTAGGCAACTTATTAGCTTCTCCATGCATTGCATTTCTCAAACTGCATAATGTGGAGGAGAGTAGTACCTAATTTATATTATTCTGAGAATTAAATTAGTAATCCAACAAAATCACCTAAAACTGTACCTGGCATAGGAAGTGAATGCTCAGTGTGTGTGAGCCATTCTGCTCAACATCATCATTATGATCAGTACATACCAGTTTGATAACCATAATCACTCCATATCTAGTCAGCTAAGATTATAAGCTTCTTGAATACAAGTTGTTTCTTTCATAATGTATCCTTTGTGCTTAGCACAAAACCTATCCCACAGTTTGATAAATAAAAGAAATGGTTTGTTTCACTTGGATTCCCTATTCTAAACGCTCCTTAAGAAGAAATATTTCTCGTATATGAGTAGCTAAGTAATTGTGGATTTAAAAACTAAAATTATGAACATATCTCCATGCTCTGTTTTCTCTCCTCAAGTGGTGCTGTGGTCTTAGATTTTCAGAAGGAGCAACAAAGACCCTCTGACTGTACTCTGTGGGTCATCCTCCTCTCCTCTCATTCCTCACCTTGACTCCTTTCCTGGGCACTAGCTCATAGTCCCATTCAACCTTTTTCCTTGCTTCTAAATAGAGCTTGTGCCCTCCAGGAATATGGAAAGTTCCTCTCAAAATGCTTTCCATCAGGGGCTGTGAAAGATGCGTAAGCTCAGCTTCGCAATATTTCTTAGATGCCTCTTCATTCTGCTGCAAGAAATCTTCCATCTTTTCCTCCATTTTTATCTGCCAGGGAAATGTAGGGAAATAGAATGAAGCTGTTAGAAGGGAAGGTCCAAATGTCACACGTCTGGTAGAAGCAGTCTCATCGCCTCAGAGTGACCTAAGGCATAGGAAGGACAAGAATCAGGAGACATTTTTAGTCCTAGTTCCAACCAATTTTCTTTGTGACCCTTGAAAAGTCCCTTAACACCCTCAGGACCAGGCTCATCATCTGTAAAATGATGCAGTTGTGAAACATGAACTCCATCTTTCCTTTAGCAGTGCTATGGTTAACCATGACCCATCCACCAACAATGCCCAATGGAAAATTGAATTGTGGCAGTGGTATAATAGTATTCTTAGAAAACATGGGTTGTTATGGATAAATATGTATACCTAGAAAAGTAATTTTCCCAGTAATGACTTGCATGTACTCTGAACAGAGGTGGTAACTCTTGGAATTCTTCCAAAAAGGATTTGAACATGTGAAGATACAGGAACATATTTTTTTTTGCTTGCATTTATAAATTATGATGTAGTTGGTTTTCTTCAATATGTAATAATAGATTTTTGTCACTTGTGGATTAGTAAAAGATAGACTGAAAGAGGGACATCTACTGAAAGTGTCCACGGCAAGCAGATGTAAGATGTTCCCTAAGAGTTTTCCCCTTCATTTCCACACTCTATGTGGTCCCTGGACCTATTACTATGATGGATCGTACTCCAATATTACATGACATGAGTTGATGTTTATAAAGGGAGATTCTTCAAGTGAGCACTACCAAATTACATGAGTTCTTTAACGTCAGAAATGTTTCTGTTCCTGAAGGCAGAAGAGATAGTCAGAAGCATTAGAAACAAGAGAAGCATTTGAGGTATCATTGCTCACTTAAAGACCAAGAGGGGTAACCCAGATCATCCAGGGGAAAACTGAGCTCAGTAGACATCTTGTTTTCAGCTTATCATACACTGGCAGCGATCCCAGACACCCTGAAGTGGACTTCTGACCTACAGAACAGTAAGCTTGCAAGTGTATATTTTTGTGTGTTTTTTTAGTCTCAAAGTTTGGCAAATACTTCTTTATTTTATTCTATTTAACTTCCTAAATATGACAATTAAAAATTATATACATACATAATTATATATACATGTATATAACATGTACATTATGATGTTTTGAAATATGCAATATATAATAACTACATCAAGCTAATTAACATACATTACCTAATATACTTATTCTTCTTTGGTGAGAATGCTTAAATACTACTGTCATTAACTACAGTTACCATGTTGTATAAATGTGTTTTTTAATCTGTTAAAGCATTGTAATATGTATAATAGAAAATTAATAAATTTCCCATCTTTTAGAACAATAGAGAACTGTAGCCCATTAGAGTCCTGTTACTTACAGGAATCTAAGCTCCTTCCTCCATGAGAAGGGAAAGAGCCATGACATTGAAAGGGTGGACTCTAAGTATCATTGGGCAGGAATCAAGAGGAAAATACACAAAGACATTACTGCAAGATTCTTCTGGAACTCCCCGTCATCATCCTTGAAGGAGTGCTCCATGAAGGCTGCAATGGCTTCCCTCTCACAGGCCGCGTGCACGTCCAGCAGCTCCTGGAGCGTGTCCGTGGGGAGCCTCACTCGCTGGGCCATGTGCTGGCTGTAGTGGTCGGCTGCCCTCTGCACAGCTGCCGAGTTCTCAAGCTGGGCCAGAGTAGTCACTGCATTCTCCACACAAGGCACTGCTCCACTGTTGATGGCATCCACGTAGGTCACCACCAGGGTCCCCAGCCCTGAATGAGTTATGAAATTTGGGGGATAAAAGGAAAGGTTTCACTCATTGTTTTACAAGTATTGTACAACAGCATTCTAAAAAATCACAAGATTTCTATTTCACTTGAAATTTCCCTCCTTCTCCTCCCTCTTTTGCTTCTGCTATTACTACAACTACTACTCTTGTTTATGAATCCACCTTTTTATAGTAACATCACTGTTGTCCCTATTCCCTTTCTCTTATCATTCTCTGACTCATCACATTACAAAATTAATTGCTGATCACTAGCAATATATTCAAGGGTTTCCTAAAAAACACTTTCCCATTTCAATAAAATTTAACAGGTATTTATGAGACAGACAAAGTCGATTATGTCATTTGTGGGTCCTAGTCTTGAATGTAAATGCAGGTCTCTTTGTAAAAAACAAATCGTCGAGAATTTCAAGACAGTGACAGAGCATTAAACTAGCTGAGTGGCTCTTCTCAGCACAGGGCACTGCATGACCGCATAGGTCACATGCTCATGAAGACAGCTCTATACATAAGATGATATGGAATTTTGTATCTCAGAATCCCACGGGGCTTGCAGGGACTCATGGCTTATTTATTGTCTGTTATATGTGAATTCATAATATATCTTGAATATTCTTCCTAAAAACATATATATCCAATATGCCATAGGAATTCATGTCACAACACAGTTATTTATCTCCTTCACAGTAATTTGTGCTTCTAAGTTTTCTTGAGATACAGTAGGCTCAATAAACACCCACACGGGGAAAGAGACTCACGCCTTCCAGTGACAAGGATCCCCTCTCTTAGCCTCTTGGTCTTTGCATGGGTGAAGATATATGAACAGAAATTTCTTGATTGTTCCTGGAAATTATGATGTAGCTGGTCTTCTGGCACTTCTTCTATATGTTGTAAGAGTTTTTTGTCACTTGTTGGCCAGTCAAAGACAAAGCACTTCCGTTTTGGGAAGAAATGCCTGATACACACTCTAGGCATGTTGGAATTTTGGATTTGGGGATTCTCACCTGCAGAAGTAAAAATAGAGAAAATATTGAAGAACAACTTTCAGGCAAAGCTGCAGATTTTCATTTTCAGGGTTCCTTCCATCACTACAGTCTTCTGTGTCTCTCTGTGAATCCCCTTTCATCCAACCAAGCAATCAACCTAATGCTAATCTACCTGAGGCATGGGAAATCCATTTCTGCACAGGGTCAAGGAGGAACTCCTGGAAAGGAAGGGAAGGCATCCATCCTGAGTGAAGAAATTATAGGTGATTTCCTCAGCCTTTGTATGATATCCATCATAGTCATCTGGGAGATTGACTATATATTATATGTTTGTTGAATTATTAATTAATTAAAATATGGTAAGAAGTCCTTTTTGTGTTTTAAATTATGTATGTTTACAGTGTATAATATAATGTTTTGATATATGTATGCATAGAGAAATTATTACTAAAAGTAAATAAAACATATATTCATAACCTTCCATAGTTACATTTTTTCCCTTTGTTTGTGGTAAAGGAATCTGCCATGTATTTTCTTTGCAAATTTCTAATATATAATACAATACAATATTATCAACTACATTCCTTCTACAGTATATTAGATCTCTAGACTTATTCATGCTACAAAACTGCAAGTTTGTACACTTTGACTTAAATCTCTGAATTTCCTCCCTCACCCTGTCCCTGGTAACCACCATTCTACTCTCTGTTTCTATGTATTTTTTTAGATTCCATATAAAAGTGAAGTCATTTTTCTTTCATTGTCTGGCTTGTTTCACATAGCATAATGTATTTTTTTAAATCTTACTACCTCCATGTCAGAAATGAAATGTGTACTCAAAAAATAAAATATGCTAGAAATCTGGATGTGACGCTGTTGGGGAAAACATCAGAAAGAGACAGAAAATAGCCAGGCGAGTACAGAAAAACTTTTATCAGTCAGAATAAAAAGAAAAATTACACAGTGTAAGTGTGGTTAGGAATTCTTTTAGTAAAATCCTCTGAAGACTGTGGTTACCTAAATGAAACTGTGAGACCTCAGCTTTCTCTTACCAGGTTACACTGGACTTGATCGTGTCTTGCAGAGGGATTCTGCAACATGCACCCGTTGTTCAAAATATGTGTGTGAAAGACCGAATAAATGATTGAATGAACAAAAATAAATATTTTTCTAGCTTTCCTCAGGTAGTCACTCTCCTATACATGATCTAGGTAACAAATTTATAATATTGAAATAATGACACGTTGTGTATGGATGCAGAATTCAGAGGTTGATGTTACAAGGAAAGAATAATGAAGGATTTTTTGGCAGCATTAGTGGAAGGATATGTCAGTGTTATTTCTGGTCCACTTCCTCCATAAAATCCTGTCTTGGAAGGATGTAACTATACAGGCATTAGTAAAATACAGGGTGTGAAATATGTTTTAGAAATTAGGTCAATTACTTTCTATGTGATTATTTGTATATCACCTTCCTATCTATTGAGCTATGTTTCTTGAAAATGGCAGGGTCAACGATTGAGTCTCAGATGTATATGGGCCTTAGGAAGTGGTAGTGTTGACTGTAACGAAAAATATTTTTTCATGGTACCAATTGGTCAAAAATCATTTGGTACAATATTGGGCCAAAAACATCCTGAGTAAGCTTAAACTCCTGCCACTGGAGATGTTCAAGTGATAATAACCACAAAAAGCATGGCCACCTGTCACCAATCACCATTAGCATGAGCCTCAATCCATTCCCACAAACATTTCTACTCAAGTGCTAAGTGACAGCGCTAAACTGATCCCACCCTGCTCCTGAACCTTCCCCTACCAAGGCCATGCTCTGATACCTGGAATCAGCTTCAAGGCATTCTCCAGGTACTCATCTTCTGTGATTGGATGTCCATCTAATTCCAGCTCCAGGGTGAAATCCCGCACAATCCAGACAAAGTCCGGGAAGAAACTTACAAACTCAGTGGAGTTTTCTACATCATCCAGTCCTGGGCAGGATTTTGTCCTAATTAGCTCTGTTAACTCAGTCACATAGCTGGCATCTTAGCTAAGGAAGGAGCAGTACCCTAAACCACCATATCCAGATCTCACTTAGAAACAGGTTTTGTGAAAATTCCTTCACCCATTGCCCCCTACCCCATCTAGCCTCATAATACACAAAAAGTGAGCCACACACAAACAAAAACAGTCTCAGTAGTCATTAATCTAATCTCAATAAAACATAGCAATTTCGTTCCTATAAGGATACTGCAGCTGCTCCAGGGCCTGGTGGTTGATGGTGTTCATGTTGTTGTAGAGAAAGGCGCTGCTCAGAAGCACAGCCAGGGCAAAGATCCAGCAGTCATTCTTAAGGTTAACCTAGAGTTAAAGAAAAATAGAAGTGGAGGCCACCGTTTGAATACAGCCTAATGCCATCTGCTCATACCCATGTACCCAAAACTTAAGTCATACTGGTTTTCCTGAAATTAGGAAACACAAATGTAACCTTTACATGCTTGTCAGCTTGATTCAGTGAAATGAAACCAATCAGCTGTAAACAAACAAAACAGAAGCTTCAACAGCTCTACTTGCCCTAAAAAGAAATGTTTTCATGTATAATAGCCAATCTCAAAAAGTCTAAATACTTCTTCCCCTATATTTTATAAACTGTGCTGTAATTGCTATAAAGAGAACTTCTTACTGCTTGGATTGAAGTTTCCTGGATCATACATGGTCTGTATTTTTTGCATGACAATAAACTTTACAATTTTTCCTAAGCTGCTCTGATTTTATTTTTGACACTACAAAGCACATTTCAGTGAGAACTTAAGAGTCTACTCCTCGATCATTCATTTGATTGCTCACGCACTATTTTAGCTGTAGTATGTACAGCTGAACACTAGGTCAAGGGATATAAACCTGGGAGATAATGTTCAATTCAAACTATTTTCTTGCCATTTACATTGACCACTTTCATCACTTTATTTCTTTTAGGTATAAAAAGAGACAATGGATAATTTCAATGTGTAAAATGTTTAATAAAATGCCTAGAACATAGTAGGTGTTCAGTAATCAGTGAGCAATAATCCTTTGCAAATTGTCTCAGCCATGGGCTATATTAGGCATGCAAATGTTATTCAATTGAATTCACTTCAGCTATGTACAATATGCAGACCCTGCATTTGGTTTTTCGATGCAAACTTCTGCACAACAGTCCTTAACCTCAAGAAAATGACTTTCTGGAGTGACAGAAAAACATGTCACCACAGAAGAAAACCAAGAGGCTAATCTTTGCCAGGAATGGAGCCAGAGGTATAATGTAAAAAACAAAACAAACCACAATCAAAACAAAAAGTGGAGGATGGGGAGAGAAGACAAATAAATAGGAACCTGTGCTCTGTGAGTTCAAAGCAAGAAGCAACAGTGTCTAACAGGGTATGATGGCAATAGGGAATGATGGCTGGGGTTTCAAAGAGTGGATAAAAGGAGGATTGTGCAGATGAAGGGATCAAGAAGGTAGAAAGCTTTCTCTAAACTGGAAGATTGGGTTAGGCTTCCTCTTCATGCATTTCGGCACTCCACGTGATCACTTTGTTATCTTCCCAATGCCCCT